GTGTGTGTGTGTGTGTGTATGTGTATGTACGCACGCGAATGAGAGAGAGAGCTTTGCCTGTGTGTGTGCTTGGTGCTTATGTGTGTGTGAGTGTGTGTGTGTGTGTTAGAGAGAGAGAGAAGAGAGAATGAGAGAGAGAGAGAGAGAGAGAGAGAGAGCGAGAGAGAGAGAGCGAGAGAGAGAGCTTTGCCTGTGTGTGTGCTTGGTGCTTATGTGTGTGTGTGTGTGTGCTTGGTGCTGTGTGTGTGTGTGTGTTTATACAGACAGCTTGTTATAGGCTGTCTGGACTGTATAGCTGGGTGATTTTCGGTTTTGTTCTCCACCCCGCTCTTTAGCGGGATCGGGTTGTGGCGGGTAGAAAACGGGGCGGGTCGGGCAGCGGGACAACAAATGCTTAATATAAGCGGGATCGGTCTAAAACCTGGCGGGTGCGGGCGGGAGCGGGATTCAAAATTAAGTCCCGCGCAGATCTCTAGCTTGAAACAGCTTGTGCTCTTTAAGCAGATGGTGCTGCATTTCTATGGAGATCCCAGTGTAGCCGCCATTACGGCTCACGGTTTTTCAGTCACCGCACAGGTCACGAGAATGAAAACTATCAATGAGTCTGTGTTGCACATAATGTGATTTTGTTTGTTTTACCGGTGTGTGTATAGATGCACCACAGCGCCCCCATCAGAGACAACCCCATCAGAAACGCAGCGAACACCACTAGCAGCACAGAGCCTTCCACTGCGCCTGAACACAAGCAAAACACAGCTCTCAGATCAGCGTGACACAACAAACACGGTTATGATGGAAAAACAGGAGTGGACATTTTTAACCCTTTGACGCCACAAGCTATGTAAAACCCTTTCTAGTGCACAACATGAGTCTTAGGGTGCTTTCACACCTACACTTGTTTCGGAACGTGTCTCGTTTGCCCAGTTAGCCCCTGTTCCGCGCCAAAGTAATCGCTCTGAGATCGCTTGAATGAGGTGGTCTCGGCTCGATTGAAACAGACCCTGGAGCGGTTCGATTGCAGTGAGAAAGCGATCCGAGCGCGGTTATATCCCAGTGTTTTATGGATATATGTAATAGGCTTACGGCTATATGAAGAGAGAATTATGAGTAGGGTGGGATGTTTTGCGAGTCTCCGGATGACCGCAAACAAGTGATGATCTCCCGGTAATCTCGCGTCTCTCTCCCAGTCCTCAAATAGGCATCGTCGCGCACCCTTCTCACACCTCCCCACCGCATCTCTCCTCAGACACGTCGCGCGCACACCCTGTCAATCACCACCAAATCACCACCTCTCCTGACAGCTGAGCGGGTCGCTGCAAAATAAACCCTGACACGCTGACCAATGTGAGGAGAGTTTACTCACACGTGACTTGTTTTAGCTCTTTTGGTCCGATTAGAAACTTTACAGTGTGAAAGCGAACCGCACCAAGAGCAAAGAGCAACACTGTAACATTTGTAATCTCTGTTTCGGAACAACTGAATCGATTCACAGGTGTGAAAGCACCCTACCTGCCTTATTTAGTTCGATTGATTCGCACTAGAGTTCGTTTTCCCTTTTGGTGCGGTTCGTTTGGGCAGGTGAGAATGCAGCAATTGTACTCGAGTGCGCACCAAAAGCGGACCAAATAAGCGTACCGAGACCTGCCTGAAGAGGTTGCCTCGGTACGCTTTCAAACGAACCCTGGAGCGGTTCGTTTGTGATGAGAATATGATCCGTACTAAAACAGGTCCAACCGCAAAAAGTTCTGCGCCTTTTGGACTAATTCAGCTGCAGTAGGCCGATGCGCTGTGCCTTATGGGAGTAAGTATTTGTTGACAGCGCTTTACCAACAGAGAGAGAGAGAGAGGGGAAAACATTACCTGATGGATCGTTGGTAATATTTCCGCAAGATGACCATGTCACAGTTTAGCTAAATTAATTCACGACTCCTCCTGAAGTGGCGAGCGATGCATTAAACACTGTTTTCCAGCCGAGGCCGTGCTTCATTTTCGAAATGTATAGTTTGTCTAATACAGGAATACAATCAGCCAGCGCAGTCGTCCCTCCAGAGTAAAAGGTTTTGTTTACTTGCGAGAGTTCATTGGCATTTTCCCGCACGTAAATTCTGACCAATCAATAAGCAGTAAAGGAAATATATTCAACAACTTCTGGCCAATGAGAGATGTGGATTTTGTCAGACGACAGCATTTTGGCTCGTTTCAACTGGTTCGGACCAAAGCCAGCAGTGTGGTGTAAAAAACAACCCAAAGACGGCAGAAGATGCAACAATGCATCATTTATTGCGCTTGGTCCGGACCAAATAAAACAGATGCTTTCACACCTGTGGATCGATTCTCTTGTTCCGAAACAAAGCTTAAAAGTGTTACATTGTTGCTCTTTGCTCTTGGTGCTGTTCGCTTTCACACGGCAAAGTTTCTAATCGGACCAAAAGAGCTAAAACAAGTCACGTATGAGTAAACTCTCCTCACATTGGTCAGAGTTTCATGGTTTATTTTGCAGAGTCCCGCTCAGCTGACATGCGTCCTTATTTTAATTTATGACGATGAGCAATGAGGCATTATAATCGAAAAGCTGTGCTTTCATTTTGAATGGTGACAACCACAGACATTGTCACTAAATATTAACCAGAGGTAAGACTTTCTCATACATAGGAGTTGGCTTATGCATTATAGAGAGAAATACAGATAAACCAAGACTGTTGTTCGGTCAGTTTTCCTAACGGATAAACAGCTCTCGTTAATAGTTAACATGCTTTCACTTTCCTATTTGACATGAGACGCACATTTACCAGACGGAATGACATCCTGCCCTACTCGTTATTCTCATATAGCCGTATATGCCCATTACATATCTAGAGTATAAAACACTGTAACATAGCCTGGTTTGGATCGTATTGCTTTCTCACTATAATCGATCCGCTCCAGAGTTCGTTTCAATCGAGCCGAGACCACCTCATTCATTCGATCTCAGACCGATTGTTTTGGTGCGGATCCGAGTGCGATTGCTGGTTTCACATATGCCAAACGAACCGCGCTAACTGGGGAAACACGGCAGGTTCCAAAACAAAAATTTAGGTGTAAAGGCACCGTAAAACGACCCACATACATTTCTAATGTAATTTCATACCAAATTAAGAAATTAATTTATAGCAAAAATATAGAAGTCAGTCGGGTCACTTTAACACCATATACGCATCAAAGGGTTAATGTGAATGCACAAGGCTTTTCAAAGCAAATATTCCTTATGAAAAATAACTATGGTTTAACCACAAAAAAAAACCAAACAAACCAACACAAAAACATCAACCCATGGTTACAGTAGTAATTCATTTAATAATACAACACTTACAAAAACATGCTTACTGTGTTTACCACGGTAAACAAAAACTGCTAATCTAACTTAGTCTGGCCATGGCATCTACATACTGCGGATTTATGTTGATTTGAAGCGCCCGATTTGAACAAAAGCATCTATAAATGAGTAAATGTACTAGTAAACAATTAATCCATCATGGTTTTACCACACTAACTAAGGCCGTACTCACACTAGGTACAGTTGCCTCGAACCGGGCCAAAGCACGCTTGTCCCCCCTCCCTTCTCCCCCAACGGCCCGTACCCACACCACAATCGGGCCTCGGCACGCTTACGTCATCGCTGCTGCGCTGTTCAGTGAGAAGCGCTCTCTCACTCAGCAGCACAGTGGAGATTTCTCTAGTTATATCGTTTCAGTCGTTTGATATGCCGTGACATGCAGTCAAACTTCGCCAAACAGTCCTTAGGGATGCGGTGACATGCAGTCAGATATTTCACCGAACAGATCCGCCACTTTTGCCGCTCAAAAACAATCATAAAGCCCTCGTGCTGCAGGAATGAGGAGGTCTACTGAAGGTGCAGCTGTCGTGCTGTGAGGAGTTCTCGTCTTTAATAAACTACGGCAGTTTGCGTTCACTGAACAGTAAGAATGATTAATAAATCCATATAAAACAGCCCTGTAAAAGTCACATCTCGCTTTCAGTTTCGAGCTTTGGCGCATTTTACACTCACACACAAGCGTACCGTGCCAAAGCCCAAGTGAACCGCACTCAGGCACACCTCTTCCAACTGGGCCAGTGCCGGCTAAGTGAACCGAGCTTGAGCCCGATTCAGCGCACTCACACTTCTCAAACGATCAGGGAAACGGGCCTGAGCACGGTACAAATGGCATAGTGTGAGTAGGCCCTAACACTCACGAAAGAAAGTGAAGTGGAGGGGGGTGGGGTTTTGATTGGGGGTGCGTGTGAGGAGGGTCATCTGTAAAAATGAGGTGCCGGTGTCATGACACTTTATCCTACCCATCAGATCATGCTACTAACACTGTATTTGAATGGTTCTGAGGTTGGGGTAAGGGATTAGGTAGGTTATGGCGATATTACAGCTTTATATTACACGGCTTCACATGAAAATTTTCACTGGTAGCAAAATCTGATGGGTAGCATATTGCATCATCAAAATGTGCTACCTACTTTTTGAACAGGAGGTAGGAGAATCTGACAAGGTGGGACAAATCGACAGAACACCGTATCAGATTTCAGCTATATCCTGGATATTTAAGCCCTGTTTAACCTGTGGTTATACGTAACATTTTAATCAACGCACACAATTGTGCAAACACTTGTGCAGCTATTTCTACAGGGACTTCTCATAGACATGATGATTTTTTTTACTGTGCAGGCTATATATTTAATACCTCTACCTCTAAACCAACCCTTAAAGAAAACAATGTGTTTTTACAGTTTTAAAATACTTAATTCTTTCTGTTTTATGAGCTGTTTTCTTCATGGGGGCTACAAAAATGTCTCCATAAGGTCAAAATTTACTGGCACTGCTATACTTGTGGGGACATTTGGTCCATACGATGTAAGGAATACAGGATACACACAGGATGTTTTTTGTGATTTACGAGGACTCTTCATATGTGTAGTGTATTTTATACTGTAATAACAGCATATTATATAGCCTTAATAATAATAATTCCTTACATTTATATAGTGCTTTTCTGGGCACTCAAAGGGCTTAACACATTGGGGGGATCTCCTCATCCACCACCAGTGTGCAGCATGCACCTGGATGACGCGACGGCAGCCATTTTGTGCCAGACCACAAAACACACACCAGGTGATTGGTGGAGAGAAGACAGGGTGACGGAGCCAATTAAGACAAGGTGATGGTTAGGAGGCCATGATAGACAGAGGCCAGTGTGCAGATTTGGCCAGGATGCCGGTGTTAAACCCCTACTCTTTTTTTTTTTTTTTTTGAAGGACATCCTGGGATTTTTAACAAGCACAGAGAGTCAGGACCTTGGTTTATTGTCTCATCTGAAAGACGGCGCTCACTGAGCAGTATAGAGCCCCCTACATTATACTGGGGCATTAGAAGACACACAGACCACAGGTTGAGCGCCCCCTGCTGGCCTCACTAGCAACACTTCCAACAACCTAGCTTTCCCATTTGGTCTCCCATCCAGGTACTGACCTCGCACAGCCCTACTTAGCTTTAGTGGGCGACCATGTGACACTCACATGTGAAAAAACCCTGTTAAGTATGATTTTAAACAATTTTCAATTACAACAAGACAAGGCATGTCCTCATAAACTGCCCCAACGTTGTAATTCCTAGTTCATACCCATGGCATTATACAAATATGTCCTCATAAACCACTTAAACAAGCACACAAACACTAAAAAGTTGAACAGACTTACTATAATAAAACCAAAATGTAATAAATATTCAGGTACACATCTGAATATTACTTTCATTTACAGATATTGCTGTAGTTGTGTGGTCAAATAAAATCTATTCGATTCATTCAAAATCTATTACAACCCAAAATAAGTAATTACATTAAACAACAGAGGACGCACCGGTGGCCGATGGAGCCTGTCCCGACATCTCAGCAGGCGTTTGAGCAAGTTTACCTATGAACACACACACACACACACACTCAGTTCAGGGTATTTTCAACACTAATGTGCATGTGAATACAGCTGCAGTGATGCCTACTCACCAGCAGGGGGCGCCAGAAAGCCAGCAGGATATGTGACCAACACGGGCCGAGACAGATTTCTGTCCTTACACTGTAACAAACACAAACACATGAGTAAACAGTTCAACACTCATGATTCCAGTGGGATTTAAGTAGTAAATGTTGCTGGAGCTAATTTTCGAAAGTGTAATTATATTTAGTTTAAATATTACTTGTTACTTGGCTACTCTTGCTGGAATAAGAGTACAGTTCCTCGCCATATCGGCCTAGAAAATAGCAACAGAACGTTTTTTTTTTTTTTGTCTGTCTTAATACATGATATAGCTACAGAAAAGTTAAGCTTTAAATAGGAAAATTCTCAAAAATATTTTGCTCATTTTAAACGAGATGCTAATGGTCTAATCTGAAATGCTAAGCTAAGCTAAGCTAAGCTAAAAGTGCTCCCACCAGACCCCGCCAGATGGCTGCTTGTTACTCAGGGCTGTTTATATGCTAATGAGAGATCACAAGAGATGATGTCACTAATGGGTGGGGCTTTCCTCTCTGATGACACGCACAAAGAAAGAATGTCTTATTTCCCTGTTGAAAAATCCAGCTTAAACCAGCCTAGGCTGGTTTAAGCTGGATTTTTCAGCAGGGTTTGATCAAGTGTGATTATAAACAATTGAGTTCATAAATATTTAGCATTAGAGGCGGGATTTATTCACACACTGCTGCCACACAACTGTGTTTAAACCCCTTATAAAAGTGATTTTTGCATAATAGCTCCCCTTTAAGTAATCATAAGTACCTTTTGTGAAGCCCGTATGTGTGTGAGAGCAGGTATTGGATGTCCGTCAGCACAGGTGTGTTTTGCGGCCCCTGACGGCCCCTCGTCCGCATCACACACACGCAGCCGGCAGTGCAGGAACTGAATGGAGTTATTAAAGACGGGCCGCAGGACGAAGCTGAAGCGCAGTGTGTTTAAACTCCGGTCTTCATCATCGTTTCGTCTCCTCCGCTCAGCTTTCCTCGCTCTCGGTCTCTTGTGTTTAAAGCGTCTGGCGATATCGTCTGCGCTGCGGAAATAATACAACCTCAAATCAGAAAAAACTTGCGACAATATGGAAAACACAAATGAAAAAAGAAAGTAGTGATTTCCAAATTTATTTTGACTTGACTATGAACAAAAAATTTCTGGTCAGCTTCATTTAATTTGAGGTTTTGGACGCCCATGCATGTTTCAACAAGACAATGCTAAACCACATTCTGCACACATAACAAAATCCTGGCTGTGAAGGAAGAGGATACAAGTACTTGACTGGCCTGCCTGCAGTCCCGACCTGTCTCCAATAGAGAATGTGTGGTGCATTTTGAAGACCCCATACTGGTGCCCACCTTGAGACTTGTTTGCAAGATAAACGGGACAAAACAACACCTGAAACACTTCATCACTTGGTGTCTTCAGTACCTAAACGTCTTTTAAGTGTTGTGAAAACGAATTGCAACATTACAAAGTGGTAAATGCAGTTCTGTCTCAACTTTTTTGAAATGATTTGCAAAACCAAAGTTGCAATATGTGTTTATTATGAAATAAACAATATAAATGATGAGAAACACATTAAATAATGTTTGTTGTTTTGTCTGCAATAAAATAAAAGTAATTTTTTTATTTTTTGAAATCACTATTTTCTTTTTTATTTGCATTTTCCATACTGTCCCAACTTTTCCTGACCTGAGGTTGTAAGTCAAAATTAAGTGAGTTTTCACTAAAAACCATTAAAATAATCTGACAGAAAGCAGGATGTTAAGTGAGTAATATGATCTCATTTCAAAATGAAAACAAGATTAATTTTGCTTACCCTACTGGCAGATGATTTGGCTTGTTTTAAAGAGCCTCTATTAGGGGGTTTTGAAAATGAGCTCCCATGCAGTGTGTAACACAGCTCTGAGTGAATGAGAACATCTAGCTGAGGTTTCAAGAGTTCGCCCTTAGCTGATGATTGATTTTGGAGCTTGTTTGGCATGCTTACCCGGGAGAGAGCCCTGAACTCGTAAGATCCTCGAGCCCAGGGCTCCCTCCCGTCGCAGGGCGAGAGGGGAGTCCGAGTTCAGGTAGGTCTCGAGAACTCCCCTGCTTGATAATGTTGGAAGTAGATTGATGCTGTGAAGTGTCTATGCTGTCAATTTAGATTTGTCAATTTACTTATGTTACATGTTTTTGGTCTGTGGAAGGAAACCGGAGAGCCCGGTGAAAACCCACGCAAACACGAGGAGAACATGCAAACTCCGCACAGAAATGCCGACCTGGCCAGAAAGCGGTAGAGCAGGTGACATTCTTGCTGTGCAGCCGTGGTGCTAACCACTGGGCCTCCGTGCTGCCCTGACAAGGAAATGGGAGGAGTAGGGGTGGAAGGGGGGATTCTTCAAGACGAAGATGGATGAAGCAAGATACTCTGGTTATTTATAGTGGTTAAGTAGTCGTCTGATTGGTAAATCAGTGTTAGCTAACGTGGACCAGATGCTATCTGTCAGGGTTCTGCCACTCTGGTCTTGTAAATTCTTGTTTTGGTGGCAGAGCTCGGACACAACCCATGTCTGGTCCTGTTTCTGTCTCTTGTACTCGTGTTTGTGTTTTCGTCTGTCAGCAGCGTGGTGTTTCATTCCCAGCGTCTCAGTCTTGTTGGTTTCGGTTTTGGTCGGCGCTGGGATGAAGCATGCACGCTGCGTGTGTGAGCGCACGGTGAGTGTTTTCATTCATCGTGTGCTCGTGTCTTGCGTCTTTTGTCAAAGCACGTGGCTCGGTGTTTACATTGTGGTCACGTGCTTTTGTCGTGTGCTTCAGTGTTGTGTTATGTGAGCGCATGGCTTGTATTGTCTCTCTGTGTCATGCGCTCTCCCGTCTATTGTCTAGTCCCACCCTCCTTGTTTACTCATTATTAGTTTGTCATGTTCACCTGTGTGTCAATTTACTTTTTGCTTTATAATCCCCCTCATGTTTTCAGTCCTTGGCCAGTTTCCTGTCTTGTTGTGTCCAGCCCTGTCTTGTTCTGCCAGTCCTGCCAGTCCAGTCAAGTTTGTTTGTTCGTTTATTTGTTTTATTAGATTTTTCCCCCTCGTGGTTGTTTGTTTTGCCTTTTTGTTTTCATTTTATAATGAATAAAAACCCATTTTTGCTGCACCTGAGTCCTCGCTCCTTTTCCTAACCTCGAACTTGACACTATCAATCATAAGCACGTGCTCCTCTCGAAATTAGTTTATTAATAAACTTCACTTTAATCTGAAAGTGCACAGCGTTTAAAAATATAATTTTTTTAAATAGAAAATTCGACTCTGAGTCGTTTAAATGATTCGTTGTTGGTCCGGATCTTTTGCCTGTTCAACATTGACACAATGCCAAAAATGAACTGCTGGATCCGGTAAGACATGAACGCCTTTACATTTGCAGAGTGCGAGTGTGTGTGGGACTGATCCTGAAGATGAGCGAACATTAATAAGTGAACGATCTGGTGATTAATGCAATAATCTACCATGCAACGGGGGATTTGTCAGCCGTTTGTTAAAGGAAGGATCAGAAAAGACTATTGATGTATGGGAGCTTGACAGGAACTTTATCCGTACAGACTTCATGGATCAGTTCCTTCCTCCATTTTACAAGTGTAAGTAAGTGTGATTAAAATGGCCGCCTCCTTGTTTTCTCTAGCTTGCAAATGATGTATTTAATTGTGTTTTGTTACTTGTATCGCTTGTAGTGTATCAGGTTAACTCTTTATATTCTGATATCCCGTCTTAAACCATGTTGAAAATGCGACACGTGCTGCTTTGTTTACAGATGTAAATGTGTTTGTGAGCTCGCTTGCCGTTTGTCTTAGCTATGGCTGCCGTCAGCTGTTCCTACACACGTTTGGCGGTCAAGACTCCAAATAGTTCAGCTTTTGCCACTGTGTGGAGTAATACTGAATGTGTGTCACTGTTTTTACTTATGGTTTAGAATGGAGCAATATGCTGCTGTTTAACTGCATTGCTTTAATGCACTCCTGCATTAGGCTCACACATACACTCTGATTACTTCAACAATGTTGTTAAGGCGTGCTGGGCATTTCTCTCTGTCTTGCGCTGAACCTAGTCGACAATCACAACAGACTGGGTCATCGGTCCAATCAGGGCAGTTTAGCCTTACGCTAAGAAGGGAACAAATGAATCGCTGAATGAATCATATGGAAGCCGTTGGAAGAGTTAATTAAAAGAAATGCATATTATAAGACAATGAAATTGTTTTTTTGACATTGCATTCATATCATCCTTTTGCTGGAGACCCCAAAATATCACCTTTTATAAAGCATTATAGGGGCTGTTTAGGGAAAAACCCACTTGATTTTGACTCATTTTTTTCTGAAAACAAATCACACACTTCTTAAGTTAAGAAAGTTTGGATATTTAGGGTGCTTTCACATCTGTAGTTCGCTTCATTTGGTCCGCACCAAGGGTAATAAATGATGCATTGTTGCATTTTCTGCCATCTTTGGGTCGTTTCCACACCTCACTGCTGGCTTTGGTCCGAACCAGTTGAAACGGACCTAAATGCCCTCATCTGACAAAATCCACATCTCTCATTGGCCAGATGTTGTTGAATATATTTCCTAAACTGCTTATTGATTGGTCAGAATTCACGTGCGGGAAAAATGCCAATGAACTCCCGCAAGTAAACAAAACCGGCAGACACAAAATGTCGCTTTTTACTCTGGAGGGACGACTGCGCTGGCTGATTGTATCCCTGCTTTAGACAAACTATACATTTCGAAAATGAAGCGCGGCCGCGGCTAGAAAACAGTGTTTTAATGCATCGCTCGTCACTTCAGGAGGAGACATGAATTAATTTTGCTAAACTGCGACATGGTCATCTTGCGGAAATATTACCAACGATCCATCAGGTAGTGTTTTCCCCTCTCTCTCTCTGTTGGTAAAGCGCTGTCAACAAATATTTTCCTCCATATCCCATAATGCACAGCGCATCGACCTACGGCAGCTGAATTAGTCCAAAAGGCGAAGTACTTTTTACGGTTGGACCTGTTTTAGTACGGATCATATTCTCACCACAAATGAACCGCTCCAGGGTTCGTTTGAAAGCGTACCGAGACCACCTCTTCAAGCAGGTCTCAGTACGCTTATTTGGTCCGCTTTTGGTGCGCACTCGAGTAGGATTTCTGCATTCTCACCTGCCCAAACGAACAACACCAAAAGGGAAAACGAACTCTAGTGCGATTCAATCGAACTAAATGAGGCAGATGTGAAAGCACCCTTAGACCTGAAATAAGATATAAATTTGCAGTAAAAAAGTATTATGTGTGCAGTGCAGTCTGTGTAATGTTAGCTCTATAATGTAAAATGCTGTATACTTGTGTTTAAAGCCTCTGGCGGTATCGTCTGCGATGCGACTCTCGGTGTGTCTCCAGCGAGAGAACGGATGAGATTTTCTTCTGTTCTGCTCTTCATCATCCGCTCCTCCATCATCATCTGTGCTTTCTCTGAGGGACAGGCTGAAGGAGCTGTCGGACGGGCAGGAGTCTGTAAAGTGCCCGGGAAATTAAAATAAACATGTTTAGATGTTAGTGTTATACTGTTTGTTTTCAGGATATCTATAAGCTAGTTGTCACGGTTGAGAGGGGGGAAAGGGGCAATGACTCACTAAATGGGTTTTATTAATAATTAAATTAAATTAAAGATAACAAAAACAACCGTGAGGGGGGAAAACAATAACAAAAAGAAAAAAAAAACACACTAGACTGGGCTGGCAGGGAAGAGCAGAGCTTCACATGACAAGACAAGGTGATAATCAAAGACAAACAGGCAGGAGCAGCAGACAAGAGGGAGCTATAAAGAGAACAAACTAAGCAACAAACAGGTAAACATAATAAACTAATAATGGGTTAACAAGATGGGAGCACATGGCACAAAGAAACAACACAAGCCATGTGCTCACTTAAAACAGGACTAGAACACACAGCCAATGAGAGTACTCATTAACCGCATGTTCACATGAAACACAACACTAAAGCAAGTGGCCACAATGTAAACATGAAGCAACGTGCTTACACAACACCAATAGAATGTATGAGTACACGATAAATAAAACACTACTGTATACTCACACATGCGGCATGCATGTTCAGATCCCAGCGCCAAACAAAACAAAATCCAACGTGACCGAAGTGCTGAGAATAAAACAGCACGCCACGAACAAACAACAAACACAAGGAAAAGGACAAGAGCATGCAACCCAAGCCCACACGGCCCTCGAGAGCAGTCAGGACCGTGCTCGCACAAGGATGAACACAAAGACAATGACAGGAACGAGTGCTCGACTGGAGAAAACTCGAGCTAAGAACATCATACAAGACAAGACAGGACTAGTGTCTGGACTCTGCCACCAAAACAAGAATAAGCAAGACCCAAGTGGCAGCAGAATCCTGACACTAGTGAGATCCAAATTTTGTGTTTGGAAAATGTAACACTGATATAAACACCTAAAGCTTACAGTGCAGTTTTTTCCCTTTTGCCTATTGACCTTATTCTCCGCAGACGAGCGGGCGCTGCCATTTGAATCTTTTTGGCACGAGACTTCCGGTCTCATTCACTTCCATTCATTTTTAGACATTAAAACACGTTTCGCTGTTTGATGTTGCAAACTGATATTTCCTTGTTATATTATTCTACTTGGTCTGTATAGTCATGCAAACATTTGTTTGTAGAGCAAGTAGTTTGACCGTTTTTTGACGTTTATTATTTCTTGTCATTTCTCCCATAGGCGACTGAAACGGAAGTTCTAAGACAATCGCGAAAACAGGCGCACTTCCGCATTTTAGAATAAGGTCAATATGGATCATTGCTTTTTTATGACATCACCTCATCAAATCTTCTGACCAATCAAATGCTCTCTGGTGTCTGACATGCCCCGCCCATTCTTCTCATTGGCTCTTCATTTGATGCGCTTGAGCTCAAGCACTCTTACTGGCAGAGCTGTGAGAAAACCAAACGCTATTGGCTGCTTTTGTAAAAGGGGAGGGGCTAATCTATGTCCCGCCTTCTTTTAATTTTCCAGTTGAGATTACGTTAAACATCCAATAAAATAATGCACATATCAAAGCACTTGACGAGACCTTTAATGACGGGCCAGCCGCTGTGAGCCTGCGGATCTGAGAGAGGAGAAACCAAACACGACTGGAGCTCCACGGCCTCCAGCGCAGAAGAAGAGTCCACTGAGATCTAACCAAGACACAGAGAAACAAGGCTCATTATCATATTACATGGACTCTGTTCACATTTGTGTGTTTCTCAGCAGAAGTCTTCATAGTTGGTAAACTTAGGGTGCTTTTACACCTACACTTTTGTTTAGGAACCTGTCTCGTTTGCCCAGTTAGCGCGGTTCGTTTTGGCATATGTGAAACCACCAATTGTGCACGGATTCGCGCCAAAACAATCGCTCCGAGATCGCTCGAATAAGGTGGTCTCAGCTCGATTGAAACCAACTCTGGAGCGGATCAATTGTAGTGAGAAAGCAAACGATCCAAGCACGGTTATATCACAGTGTTTTATGGATATGTAATAGCATAGGCTATATGAAGAGAGAATTATGAGTAGGGCGGGAGCCGGGAGGTCAATCAACAAACATCCCAAGTCTCCCACAAATGCACAGAGACTCCCGGATGTCTGCAAACGAGTGATAATCTCCTGGTAATCACGCGTCTCCCTCCCGGTCTTCAAATACATCGCGCACCATTCTCACCCCTCCTCACAGAATCCCTCTTCACTCTTCAGACACGTCGCGCACACCCTGTCAAACACCACCAAACCACCACCCTCCCTGACAGCTGAGCGGGACTCTGCAAAATAAACCCTGAAACTCTTACCAATGTGAGGAGAGTTTACTCACACGTGACTTGTTTAAGCTCTTTTGGTCCGTTTAGAAACTTTGCAGTGTGAAAGCGAACCGCACCAAGAGCAAAGAGCAACACTGTACCAGTTTTAATCCCTGTATCGGAACAACTGAATCGATTCACAGGTTTGAAAGTGTAACGGAGGCCAGCTAGTGTGTGCTGTGCAGGTAAACCTCACTCCTCTGACCTCTAAAGGTGCTCTAGCGACAGATGCTAGAGGCCATAGTCTTTAGCCTTCTTGTTAGAGCAACTGACTCCCATGCGGAAGGTCGCCGGTTCTATACCAGCTCGGAGCGGGTTGGGTGGCGTAGGACCGGAGGGGTTACATTGGTGCCGTGACCCGGATGGAAGTGAGTTTTAGTGCACAGTGATTGGGAGAGTACAACAAATCATCTATTTACAATCTTTAAAAATAAAAGAAACTCTCCATGATGGCGTTATCAAAAATTAAAATAAAAACAGTGCGAGACTGAAACGTCAGAGAGTAGAGAAATTAATCATTTTATTGCTAACTATTGCATTACTATAGTAAACAATAGTATTTTCTTGCTAAGCTAAAATTTCCAAGAGAAAAGTAGGGTGCTTTCAAACCGGTGAATCGACTCAGTTGTTCCGAAACAGGGATAAAAGCTGTTACAGTGATGCTCTTTGCTCTTGAAGCGGTTCGCTTTCACACTGCAAAGTTTCTAAACAAACCAAAAGAGCTAAAACAAGTCACGTGCGAGTAAACTCTCCTCACATTGGTCAGAGTTTCAGGGTTTATTTTCAGAGTCCCGCTCAGCTGTCAGGGAGGGTGGTGGTTTGGTGGTGTTTGACAAGGTGTGCGAGACGTGTCTGAAGAGCGAGGAGGGATGCGGTGGGGAGGGGTGAGAAGGGTGAGCGACGTATTAGAGGACCAGGAGGGAGACTCCCGACTCTTCCGGGAGACTTAGGATATCTGGAATTACCTCCCGCCCTACTCATAATCCTCTCTTTATATAGCTGAATGCCTGTTACATATCCATAAAACACTGTGATATAACCGGGCTCAGATCACATCGCTATCTCACTGCAATCGATTCGTTTCAATCGACCCGAGGCCACCTCATTCAAGCGATCTCAGAGCGATTGTTTTGACGTGGGTTCGATAGTGATTGGTGGATTCACCGATACCAGCTGAACCGCACTAACTGGGCAAAGGAGACAGATTCCGAAACAAAAGTCTAGGTGTGAAAGCACCCTAACTGCATTCTGACAAAATATTTGCCCTCTCTCACAATAGTTGATTTTCTTTCGCAAAAAAAAAATTGTTGTCATTCTCTCACAAAACATGCAATTGAAGGCGATATATTTAGCCATTCTGTAAATTGCATTTATTTTTCAATTATTTAATCATTAAGTGATATTCAACACAAGCAAGAACATTTTCATAGTATTTCCCAGCATAAAAGTGTCATTATCGCCCCCTGTTGGTTCGGGGTGTGCTTAACATGCATCACAGTGCGTTATTTTGCGTTTTCATGTGGATGGAGATTTTTTTTTAACGAAAGTGGGGGAAGCTGTTAATTAAAACACCATGTACCTGTGAATATGGCCTAAGATGTTAACATGAACTTTTTAATCCGATTGCTATCTTAATTGTGTGAATGCAGATGTGCGCACTGACCTGCACGTAGACTCGCTCGTGGGCACTGATGACGCAGGGCCCGACGGTTCTCTGCTGGAACGCCTCGCTGACAAACAGCTCCATGGACAGCAGTGGAGACGCAGCGGTGGTGTCGGCCCCAGGGCCCCACAGAGGAGGAGCATGAGGAGGAGCGGGAGGAGTACTGGGAGCCAGAGCTGGAGCCACACCAAGAGATGGAGACACCACTGATGGAGACAAAGGAGCAGGCAGAGACCACACACAGCTGAGCTGAACACACACAAAGAGAAGAGGTTTTACCTCAAATAAAAGAGATGACTTCTTTAAAAAAAAATACTAATAATAAACAACAACTTCAATAAATGTCTCACATGAACAGCCAGAGGATTAGACTCGTCCCACAGCTCTGGGCTCGTCTGATTGGTCAAACCCTCGGACGGTTTCTGTTTCCACAGCAACACCTGGAGGACAAAAGCAGAAATGCAGCATCAATGATGACATCAGATCCTCTATTGAGGAAAACACAGCATTAATAATGACAGCAGCACCTCTATTGAGGAGAGAATAATCTGTGCTGCTGCAGTCAGAGCAGGATGACCTGGGTCAACACAAGCTGCTGATTTATACCTTTATTTAACACACATACACACCGCCACACACACTACGACAAAAATATACAAACAATAAGGTCTCTGGTTTCACTCTAAAACATATTCATTCATTCATTTTCTTGTCGGCTTAGTCCCTGTATTAATCCGGGGTCGCCACAGCGGAATGAACCGCTAACTTATCCAGCAAGTTTTTACGCAGCGGATGCCCTTTCAGCTGCAACCCATCTCTGGGAAACATCCACACACACATTCACACACTACGGACAATTTAGCCTACCCAATTCACCTGTGCCGCATGTCTTTGGACTGTGGGGGAAACCGGAGCAAATCTAGAAATAAAGTATATATAAGATAGCTTCACCGATTAGCTTTGAATTGATACTAGCATGTCATGTATTTAAAATACTCTTAATTAATTTAATTTTTATTTATTTTTTTAACACCTTTGAACGTACAACATGTTTGGAAATTACGTAGAATAAATTTATTACTCTATCAAGCAATATTTACCTTGATTTTTCTTCTTGTGTTGTTCATAAATATTTAAATTCCCTCTATCTTGAACATGTTCTCAGATGGCGCTATACATTTTCATAGAAACATAAATAATCTCACCCAAATCTTTTAAAGCGACACTACAGTGTTGTAGAGCTGCACAATTAATCGTTAAAACATCGCGATCTCGATTCGACCCCCTAGACGATCTTAATCCAGCATTTCTACGATTCTGCCAATCATATGTTCAAGTTCAGGAGAGAAGAAAAGGCGGCTGCACGAGTCTTTTCATTGTTTCACACACGTTGCTCAGTGACATTGACACCTCCAAATGATGTTGAATGAGCCACATACTGTATTCATAAGGTATAATCCACCTATAAAGGTAATTTTTTGTCTTAATATAATGATGTTTTCGCGATCGGGAAATCACACGTGACCGTGAGCTGTTAGGGCTGCGTCCGAAACCGCATACTTTCATACTATACAGTACGCCAAAATTAGTATGCGAGCCGAGTAGTATGTCCGAACTTATAGAATTCGAAAATCAGTATGCGAGAAGTACCCGGATGACTTACTACTTCCGACGAGATTCCGGAGTGCGCATCCCATGCACGCTGCGCTATCCCATGATGCCCCACGAGCGAATTCATGAATGGAAGTAAAGGGACGCAACTGACGCAGGTAGGTCACGTGACCATGACAAAATGGCGGATGTAGTACGTCCGAATTCCATTCATACTTTTCACATTCATACTGTATAGAACTTACTTTTCTAACGGCCGAGTAGTACGTTTAAATTGAAATGCAGTACCTACTGAGTAGTAGGCGGTTTCGGATGCAGCCATAGAGAGGGCGCGGCTGCGCGCTCTACTTAATGATAGCGTCTACTTTAGTGAACAGAACCTGCATATGTTGCGAGTAACAGGTAATACAGTTGTAAATAACATTCAGTTTGTGGCACAGAGACATCGTTTGGGAGTCGCACGCGAATTATGAACAAGCACTTAGCAGTCAGAATGAAACCGAAAGTGTGCACTTCATTTAAATGATCGTATGGCATTTTAGAGTTATGATTACGACAAGCATTTGATATGTTTTTTCTTTCACAGCGAACCCACAGTTGTGCATGAAAATAAATGTTTACAATGTTAGTTTAAGTACTCTAGCCTATATATTGTTGAATATAATCTGATAATGGCAAATGTCTGATTTTACCAGTGAATTAAATTGTCTAATATGACAGACTGCAAGCATATATCTCAAACATAACAATTCAACATCAGAATTATTATCCAGTAAGTAGAATAGAATTATTTATAGAAACCAATTGACCTACACATTATATTATTATTGATGTTATGCCATATGTTTGTGTTTACCACACCTTTATTTTAAATCTACAGAATCGTGAGAAAATCGTTATCTTTATTTTAAGCAAAAAAATCGTGATTCTCATTTTAGCCAGAATCGTGCAGCTCTACTTTGTGGTGGAAATGACACCGATACTGTGCGACAGCTATATTTTGTATAAAAAGTAATATTGATAATTGTCTCACATTAATAACTATAAAATATTTAAACTATTTTACTAGTGCTTAATTAGGATACATTAATAGATACCAGATAAACAATATTTGAAAATTTTATCTTCATTGCTGACGTTTAAAACTCTGAGTGTGCGACAAGGCGAAAACACTGATTTTAACACCTAAAAGGAGGTTGAATAAAATTAAAAATACAATAGAAAGCTGGTAATTTTTTTATAAGTAAGTTTTAACATTAGTTTGACAAAGATGAATTTGAACAAAATTATATATGTTTTTGGATATCTGATCAAAGACATAAAAGGTTAAAGAATTACCCGTAACACATTCAAAAAGAGTTGTGACAGGAGCAGTTTAGAGCTAGTCATCAGGTAAACTGGTGAAATAATGATGCAAAGCAGGTGATGTCAACAGGTGATTGCAATTATGATTTGGTACAAAAGCAGCATCCGAGAAAGGTCTTGTCCTTTAGGAGCAAAGATGGGCCGAGGATCGCCAGTTTGCCAACAAATACATGAGAAAATGATTGAAATGATTAAAAACTATGTTCCTCAGAGAAAGAGAGGAAGACATTTGGATATTTCACCTTGAACAGTGCAAAACATTATTTAAAGATTCAAGAAATCTGGAGGAATTTAACTGTGTGAAGGACAAGAGCGTAAGCCTATGCTGAACCACTGTGATCTCCGATCTTTCAGGCGGCGCTGCATCAAGAATCCTCATTCATCTAGAAGCCATATCACCATATGGGCTCAGGACTACTGTGGCAAACCTTTGTCAAGTACCACAATGTGTAGTTACATCCTGAAATGCCAGTTAAAATCCAAAAGGAAGCCCTATGTTAACAGTGTCCAGAAGCGCTATGCAGTTTTCTGGGCTTCAGCTATTGTTTTAGGAGAAATGAATGCTGTGTGGTCCGCACCAACCAGATCGTTACCAGCAACAAGCCCAAATGCCAGGCTCTGTCATGGTATGGGGTTGTGTCAGTGCCCTTGGCAAAAGTAACTTGCACTTCTGTGATGCACCATTAATGCTGAAAAGTACACAGAGACTTTGGAGCACAATCTGCTGCCTTTTTTTCAAGGGACGCCCATGCATATTTCAACTAAGTTAGTTTAATAGGTTAAGTGGCACAGTGAAACCGGTAAATATCTGGGAAATTTTTCGAAACGACTTTAAAGGTAAATTAAAAAAAGCCCTGTTCACACAAGCGAGGACGTTACGAAATTTTTCAGGAAAGGACCATTCACTCACCCATTCCAAAATAGCGGTAAATTCTGACATAATTAACCAGAAATGGCCTCTAAACCGCCGCGCTTGTATTTGTAAACATTTGACTACGTTACAAACTCTGTGGGTGGGTCAGTGTTGTGAACAGCTTTGATGAAAGCATAGAGAAACACTTCGCATGTCGAGATGTTCATAATATGTGTGTGTGCTGGCGCTCACCAGCTGCTTTACGTGCACTCGCGTGAGCTTGAAGGTAAACAAACAACGGCTTATCATAAGCATTATCGATAATTATTTACACTGTTGGCATTAAGAAGGAACATATAAACATTGTCTGACTAACATCTAGCAGCTAAAATGTGTCTGGAAAAACATTCACAGGCATTTATTCTCACCAACCGCGCGGACATGAATGCGTCTGAGTGTTCTGATTGGCTAAAGTAGACGTCTTACGTCAGCACCTTCTAGACGTGAACGCGCTCTTTCTGGTAATCTTTCTTCTGAGTTCACACAGCGCAGCATTCCGGCAAATTACGGTAATGTTACAACTTCACTTTCCGGAAAATAACTGGAATGAATTTACCGGTGTTTTCAAAAGGGCCTGCTCACACAAACAGATCTTTCTGAAAAATTAAAGGGGCTATTGTCAGCATTAGTACTGTATTCTTGACACTTATTTGTACTGTTTGTCTTTGGCTTTTTTGTCCTCTTCTGCTGCCATCAGTTTTTGTTTTTTACATTTTAATTGTACTTTATAAATGATAGTGTACTGTATGTTATTATGCTGTGCTCCTATTTTAGATGTGACTTTTTAACATTCAGTAAGGGATCTGCAGATGAAAAATAGCCATTCTTGGCTAATTCTGGCACATTTTACATTAATGTTTATTAATGTGCATTGACCCTGCAAACAAATAAACTAAACTAAACTAAAAACAAGACAATACAACACCACATTCTGCATGTGCATTTTCCACATTCTTTTCTTTTTCATTATTTTATAACCTATTTAAACATATTTTTATCAATTTTTTATTCTTATTTTTATAATTCTTATTATTTGTTTTTATTTTCTTACACTTGTCTTGTATTCCTGTTTATGTAAAGCACTTTGAATTGTCTCTGTGTGTGAAATGTGCTATATGAATAAACCTGCCTTGCCTTACATTACACAGTCCTGGATGTGGAGGAAGAGGATACAGGTACTTGACTGGCCTGCCTGCAGTCCCGACCTGTCTCCTATAGAGAATGTGTGGTGCATTTCGAAGCTCAAAATGCCACAAGAAAGACCCCACACTGTTGCCCACTATAAGACTTGTTTGCAGGAAGAATGGGACAAAAATGCACCTGAAACACTTCGTTATTTGGTGGCTTTTGTCCCTAAACGTCCCTTGTGAAAAGGAATGGCAACATTACAAAGTGGTAAATGCTTCACTGTCCAACATTTTTTAAAATGTGTTTCACAAAACAATTGTAATACGTGTTTTTTATGGGGAAAAAAAAAAACATTAAAAATCCTGAGGAACAAATTAAATAATAGTTGTCTGCAATGAAATAAGAGTTAAATTTATATTTGGAAATCACTACTTTAATTTTTTATTTGCATTTTCCATACTGTCCCAACTTTGTCTGATTTGGGGTTGTATATTGTGGTGAGGGGGTGTGGCCGAGAGCTGTGGGAACGGAATGAGTCCGCCACGTAAGTGAATGCACCTGCGGTGCGCACCGGGCTCGAATCCCACAGAAGGAGCTCTGGACTATAAAAGGAGGAACGATGGCAGAGGAAGCCGAGAGAGGACCGGGCCCGAACATGTTTTACTTTTGCTTTCAGTTTGACGGCAGTCTCCATGAGGAGCTGCCGTCCGTTTGTTTTGGTTTGTTACTGTTACAGTTTTTTACAATTGCTATGACACTTTTATCAATACATTGAACAAGTTTACTAAACTCTTAACACAGTTAGCACAACATCTGTCTTCGTGGGCTATACAATTAACACATTTCTTGTTGTTTTGACACAAAATGCATCTAGTTAACACAAATTTAAAATGCTTTAACTTCTTTTACACACAAGCACAACCAAGAACAAAACAATGTAATTTTACAGTCAAATTTACAAATGCTTTAACACAGTATGTCAGAACAGATAACGCCATGTTCTAAACAGAAATTATATAGGATAAAGTCAAAGTGAACAGCTGTTCTAATTGTGAATTGAAACACAAGTTTATTCCCTGTATTTTATTCAATTGCCAATGAGAAACAGCATATTGCGGTTATATATATATATATATATATATATATATATATATATATATATATATATATATATTTATATACATACATATATATATATGACAGCTGATTCCCATCTAGAAAGCACACTCATGTCTTGTTTTGGTTTTTCCAATCACATGATCATATGTTCTAATAGAGGACTCCAATACGTCCATGTAAGATTATGCAATACAGTCATTACTGTACTATACACAGTGTGTTTTGCAGTAAACTACTCTTTAAACCTGGAGTTCATTAGTACATACAGTACAACATTTGCATACACGGTGTCTAATTACTTTCAGAGAGTCATGAAGTTGGAGGCCAATCAAGTACCACATGAAATTTTCAATGTTGACAAGGCTGGGGATGTCGCCGTAGGAACAACATAATAGGCCAAAGGGCCACAGTTACCGTGCCGGGCCACAGAAGATATCAAGTATAATGTGGATGAGAACATGTGGCAAAAGACCGAGCAGAATAGAAGATTACTTTGTTATTTTATTATAATTGTGGTGCTTTTTCTGTTTGCAGTGATGTCCTTCTGCAAAAAAAGTCTGTACTGCAGAAATTCTGTGTCTGTATTTTTTTTTTACATAAACTGTAAATTTTATAAAGCAATTTTTTTCTTCGTTTTGTATAGAATTTTTGCCGTAAACGAAAGAAAATGCATGCATTTACTTAACCCAACAAAACAAAACTGTAACGAGACTTCAAATATAAGGGCAGAGCTGACACATAAACTAATGGAGTTTCTGTAATGTCAGCTGATGATGGTGTTTTTATTGGCAGTGTGTTCTGATTGACTGAATGTTTATGTTGGAAGAGAACATGTGTTAGTGTTTTGAACAATAATTTCATTTTGAAACATGTTTGCAGTGTTTTGTTAGACATGGTGTAGTGTGTTCGTTTATTATTGTATTTTGAAAAGTAGTTTAGAGGTTTAGTTTATAATGTGTGATTTTGAGCATAAAATTAACTGTTTTGCCAATTGTGTGTTTTAGGTGTGTTGCTGCGTTAAGAGTTTAGCAAACTTGTTAAATTTATTGAAAAAAGTGTCATAGCCATTGTAAAAAACTGTAATAATAAATAGTTTAAAAACTGCGTCGGTTCTCCGCCTCCTTCTTCCCAAACAACGAACTCTATTACATGTATAAATACTGTATATAAATACATTTTATTTTAGAGCAAAACCTGAGCCACTATTTTTTAAATCACACAAGCAACACAAATCGTCTTGAGAAACAAGTGTGATGCTTTAGCAGATACAGCATGTGTTTAATCATGTTTTACTCTCACTGTGTTTGTGTAATGAACCCTTCCACTGGCTTCATCCATTTCTCCCTCGGTACCACAGGAAATGATGGGGGAAACCAACAGGAAATGACTTCCGTTAAATTCAGCTTTACACTCTGGATCTTGCAGGGTCACCGCCGTCACTGGCCAAACCTGTGTCTGCAGACAGGTCAAACAGTTTGGCATTATTATTATAGGTCAGATATTATAATTATATGCATTATTATTATTTATTTTATTATGATTTTTGCCAGTTCCCTTCCTTGTTCTTCCTTCACGTCCCACTTGCACATTTTTCTTACAACACTTATATTTGTGTAACATTTATTTTTAGTTCACTGGATCATACAGTGTGTGTGTCTGCTACCTTTAGCATCTGCATATCCACGGTAACAGTCAGAGCTCCGCCTTCACACTGATAGCTGAGCGCATCAGCACTGTCAATCGTGATGTCATCGTGATGATGCCAGACTGAAGACGCATCATCAGAGTCTGAAGATCACAAAACACATCGTTATAGACACACACTAGTGAACAACACACTCTTTTCTATGTTAAGAATATAAGGTCAAATGTTTTGAGAAAATTTTAAATGTAACGAGAGTAAAGAGAACAAAAAAGTCGAAATGTTATGAGAATAAAACTGAAAAAGTTGAAATGTTAAAAGAACAGTCAAAATGTTACGGGAAAAAAGTTGAAATGTTACGAGAATAATGTTGTAATGTTATGAGAAAATAGTTGAAATGTTAAGAGAAAAATGTCGAAATGTTAAAAGAATAAAGTCGAAATGTTAAAAAAATAAAGTTGAAATGTTACAAGAATAAAGTCGAAATGTTATGAGAATAAAATTGAAATGTTTCGAGAAAAAAGTTGAAATGTTAAAAGAATAAAGTCAAAATGTTACGAGAATAAAGTTTTAATGTTACGAAAATAAAGTCGAAATGTTACGAGAATAAGGTTTTAATGTTACGAAAATAAAGTCGAAATGTTACGAAAATAAAGTTGTAATGTTACGAGAATAAAGTCGAAATGTTACGAGAATAAAGTTGAAATGTTAAAAAAATAAAGTCGAAATGTTACGAGAATAAAGTTGAAATGTTAAAAAAATAAAGTCGAAATGTTACGAGCATAAAATTTAAATGTTCCGAGAAAAAATTTAAATGTTAAAAGAATAAAATTAAAATGTTACGAGAATAATATTGTAATGTTATGACAAAAAAGTTAAAATGTTAAGAGAATCATGTCAAAATGTTACAAGAATAAAGTTTAAAGAGCCCATATTATGGGTTTTTGAAAATTCCCCTCCATGCAGTGTGTAACACAGCTCTAAGTGAAGTGAAGTATCCAGCTAAGGCTTAAATCTGTAAGAATACAGTGTTTAAAACGGTTGATTCATCTATAAAAGAGTCGACTCATAGTGCTTCAAACGAGTCGCCTTGATACCGATTCATTAGGTGTTTCGCCATGACGTACGAACGAAACCAAGTTATTCACGTGCACGCGCAAACCAGGGAGATTTCAAACCTGAGGCCCCGCCCTCTGACGCAGAAACCCAGAGACACACACACACACACACACACACACACACACACAAACATGCCGGTGGATTGAAGTCACGCTGCAGATGGATATATTGAGTCTCTACCCAAAGATGAAACCTCAGCATTATAGCCAAGCAGTTGGAAACTACTGGAAGCTACATGCTACAAAGAATACTTCATCAGCGTTTGTTAAAGGAAGGGTCAGTAAAGAGTAACTTACTGATGGACGTCAGGATGGATTTTTCTTCCTCCATTTCTCAAGTGTAAGTACGTGCGATTAAAGTTGCCTCGTTGACTCTAGCTTGCAAATGTATTTAGTTGTGATTTGTTACTTGTAACCGCGTGTGCTGTATCAGGTTAACTGGCTTTATTCTCTTATCGCGTGCAAAGTCACGTTAAAAACGCGACGCGTGCTGCTTTGTTAACGGAGCTCCGTGGACGGGGAGTAGTGTGTGTTTGTGTGTGTGTGTGTGTGCGCGCGCGCGTTGTCGTCCGGAGCAGGGTTAAGTGCATGTGTGTGTGTGTGTGCAATATGCGTGTGTGTGTCTGTGAAAAGAGCAGAGTGAGAAGCTAGGAGATCTCCTCAACTGTTTTTGAGTTTTTGCTCAATAAAATAGTTAGTTGTCTGTATTTTCAAGTCCATCGACTGTATTTACATTGACCCACTGGCAGCTAAAATCCACGCCTACACTATCGAGCGTGTATGCACTGTGATTACTTTTATATTGCTAATTAGCTGTTTGGCATTTCACTCTCTGACTGAAGGCAGTCGACCAATCGCAACAGGCTGTCATTGGTCCAATCAGCGCAGATTAGCTTCGCGCTAAGGAGGGGTTTGGGAACAAATGAATCACTGGACGATTCATACAGGAGTCGCTGGGATAATTAGGTAAAAATAAATGCAGATTATAAGACCACGAAAGTGTTTTTTGACCTTGCATGCATATTAAACTGTTGTTGGAGACCCTTACAACCAAGATATGACCCTATTTCATGTATAATATGGGCTCTTTAAATGCTATGAGAATAAAGTCAAAATGTTAAGAGAATAATGTTGAAATGTTACAAGATAAAGTCGAAATGTAAAAAAAAAAGTCAAAATGTCACGACAATAAAGTCAAAATGTTACGAGAATAAAGTCTAAATGTTACAAGAATATATTTGGTATGAGAATAAAGTCAAAACGTTACGAGAATAAAGTCAAAATGTTATGAGAATAAAGTTAAAATGTTACAGAAATCAAGTTGAAATGTCATGAGAATATAATCAAAATGTTACAAGAATCAAGACAAAATGTCATGAGAATAAAGTCGAAATGGTACAAGAATCAAGTCAAAATGTCATCAGAATAAAGTCGAAATGTTACGAGAACAAAGTTCAAATGCTACAAAAATAAAGACGAAGTGCTATGAGAACAAAGTTGAAATGTTATGATAATAAAGTGGAAATGTTACAATTATAAAGTCAAAATTTTAACAAGAATAAAGTTTAAATGTTACAAGAATAAAGTTGAAATGTCATGAGAATAAAGTTGAAATGTTATAAGTATAAAAGTTGAAATGATTCAAAAATAAAGTCGAAATGTTGCAAAACATAAAGTTGAAATGTCACGAGAATAAAGTCGAAATGCCACTAGAATAAAGTCGAAATATTACAACAATAAAATAAAAATGTTACAAGGATAAAGTCGAAATGTTATGAGAAATAAGTTAAAATGTTACCAGAATTAAGGTGAAATGTTACGAGAATAAAGTTGAAATGTTACGGGAATCAAGTTAAAATGTCATGAGAAATAAGTTAAAATGTTAAGAGAATAAATCCAGTATGTTACGAGAATGAAGTCGAAATGTTACGAGAATAGTCAAAATGTTACAAGAATGAAGTTGAAATGTAACGAGAATAAGGTTAAAATGTTTCGAGAATAAAGTCAAAATTGTCCGAGAATAAAGTGTAAATGTTATGAGAACATAACAGAAGTCGAAGTGTTTTGATAATATAGTTGAAATGATACAAGAATAAAGTCAAAATGATATGAGAATAAAGTGGAAATATTGCAAGAATAAAGTTAAAAAGGTTACGAGAAAAAAATCTGAATGTTACAAGAATGAAGTGGAAAATTACAAAAAATTATAAAAAATATTGCGAGAATAAAGTTGAAACAAGAATAAACGCATCAAATGAAAAGCCAGTTAGAATAAGGGGCGGGGCATGTCAGACACTAAAGAGCATTTGATTGGTCAGAAGATTTGATGAGAAACTTAAGCATGAGCGACGTCAAAAAATGATTGATTATTTAGGCAGAAGTGACAAACTAAAAGCTTTTATATGAGGTTTATATCTTCTAAATGTAAATTGTCACTGTTTTGTTCCAAACTAGCTTATAGTTATCCTTAAGACTAACATACAGAAACTAACTTTTAAAAATGTTATTTTAAGTCCACCGGACCTTTAAAACTAAAACTAAGACTTCAACACTAAAACTCACCTTTTCCTGCCCCTAACTTGATGACGAAGCGATTGGCCAGATCGGCTTCAGTGTATGAGGTCACTTTGGAAAAGCCGTTCTGATTGGCCCATTCCAGAAGGTCAGGGGTGTTGAGGAGATCAGAGGTCACAGTGCTGGTCATGGTGAGGTCAGACGCTGGACTTCTGTATGGCAGACTAACACTGTGGGACGACTGAAATAGATATATTTCTGTCAGTGAAATCAGCAAAGTGATTTTAATAAACACTTATTTAACTTCATTTTTCTCTGATATTGTAGTGTTTATTGTAAAAACATAAATTCTTCTCTGATCCAATTTTTTTGTATTCACTAATGGTTCATGGGGTCAACAAAAGAATGGATTTTGTAACAAAATAATAATAATTTTTTTAATAAAATAAATTTTACTTAATTAAATTAGGTTAATGTTTACTCCTTATTTGTACAACTTATAAGGGGATTTATGGTCATTATTTTCAATTTATATACATAAAATCAAATAAAATGTAATTTTATAAATACATATAATTTGACTCTGCTCCTTAATGTTTTTACTCCACATTTGTGCAATATTTTGGGGACTTTTTTCAATGTATATAAACAAATAAATCTATGTGATTTTATAAATAAATTAATTTCCATATTATTTTACCCTGTTCATTAATGCTTTACTCCACATTTATGCAATTTATGGGGGGATTTGTGGTCATTTTTCTTTCGATTTATATATATATATATATATATATATATATATATATATATATATATATATATATATATATATATATATATATATATATATATATATATATATATATATATATATATATATATATATATATATATATATATATATATATATATATATATATATATATATATATATATATATATATATATATATATATATATATATATATATATATATATATATATATATATATATATATATATATATATATATATATATATATATATATATATATATATATATATATATATATATATATATATATATATATATATATATATATATATAT